AACCCAAGTCCCAGGCCTAGCGGATCCCGACTCATCTCCCAACGCCCAAAAAGCCTCGCGGTCCGTCGGATCGATTAACGGGGACGAGTACTCTTCTTTCGGAGCTGAAAATGGAGGTTGCGAGCTCGTTCCCTCAGAATTGCGAAAATTGGAACTAGTTGAGGAACGAGTCTTTCTTCCTGAAAACATGTTTGAAGATCCTCAAAGGAAGTAGAGAGAAAAATTTCTTGGATAAATTGTAGAGGATGGGGTAAAGAATTCAAAATTTTACTCCATCTACTTATAGGGAAGAATTTTACTATTCACCCTTGGACTTTTGGCCATTAAAGTCCGTCTAATTCTACCAAACTCGCCAAACGAGCTCAATCCACTCGCAAGAACCCCACGATTCTCAAGAGCTGGGGGGCTAACTGTTGGGGTCAAAATCGGTACGACGGAATCAATAGCCAAAATTCCCCGCAAAAACATAAAAAAATAGTTTTATAAAATCCAAAGATCATTTTATAAGACAAGAAGACGTTTTATGAAACTCGCAGATCGTTTTATAAAACTCGAGGATTGTTTTATAAAACTCGAGAAGCCGTTTTATAGAACTCAAAGATCGTTTTATAAAACTCGCGAAGCCGTTTTATAAAACTCAAAGATCGTTTTATAAAACTCGCGAAGCCGTTTTATAAAACTCAAATACCGTTTCATAAAACTCGAGAAGCCGTTTTATAGAACTCAAAGATTGTTTTGTAAAACTCGCGAAGCCGTTTTATAAAACTCAAAGACCGTTTTATAAAACTCGAGAAGCCGTTTTATAAAACTCTAGAAGCCATTTTATAAAACTCAAAGCCGTTTTATAATACTCAAAAATCGTTTTATAAAACTCGAGACTCAAAGATCGTTTTATAAAACTCGCGAAGCCGTTTTATAAAACTCGAAGATCATTTTATAAAACTCGAGAATCGTTTTACGAAACCGCAAAAAACCGAAACAGTCGTAAAATGCAAACTAGTCGCAACTAGTTCGCCCACCGGCGAACTAAGCCAAGCTGGCTTACTTCGCCGATGGGCGAACAAGGAGGCCCATGACTAGTTCGCCCACGGGCGAACTAGTCCCGTCCCGACTAGTTTGCCCATGGGCGAACTAAGCCAGTTCGGCTTAGTTCGCCGGTGGACGAACTAGAGACTTCCTGGACGTCCCGAACCTCGATCTCATGTTCCGTCTCGATCCGACCTATCATTCGAATTTTACGATAAAAACCGTAAAACTTCGTTTTCTCGACAAAGAACTCGAGGAAATCGTATAAAACGGCAACGGTTAAACGAAACACCAAACATTGTCTAAACTATACGATTTATTCGAGATTTCTCGTTAAAATCGTAAAAAACGTGTTTTTAATAAAAACGTCGAGAAAATCGTAAAAAACGCGTTTTTAATAAAAACGTCGAGAAAATCGTAAAAACGCGTTTTTAATAAAAACGTCGAGTAAATCGTAAAACCTTACGATTAGCTTGAGGAATTTATTAAAAACGGCATCAGATCAGGAAACGATCCCGTACAAAGTCGGAAAACGGATTTATCGCAGAACGGTCCGGAAGGTCCTAAAACGCGATAAAAGCCCATCTCGCGATCTTAACGGAGTCTAACCCAAAAGATACGATAACATTTTGACGGTTTACTCGCAGGAGAAGAATAAATGTCAAGCTTGAAGATAAAAGGCAGGTTTGGAGAAAAATAGAAGATTTCCGCGGAAGAAAAGGAAGGATCGAGAAAAATGGAAAATTCCAGATAGACTCAAATCTGGGCGAAATGGAAAGACCGACTGGCCAAGGCGATGAGTATATAAATAAGAAGTCTAGGGCAGAAGGAAGACACACGATTTTCAGAGCTCTCACCACCAGAAATTAGCATTTAGGAAAATTTCCGTTTTCTGTTAGCGAGCTGCGTCTCAACTTGGGTTTTCATTCTTAGACTTCTAGGGATTTTGCCGACGGCTTATACGGCTAAGGCTGCTCTCGTTGTAACAAGTTCTTACGCAGATTCGGAATAAGATCCTCTTTGCTTTTGATCTCGTTTACTTTTTATTTTAAATTCTAAGTCTATCGTTTCTTAATCTTCATTGTGCGGTTCTGCAGATAGCCGGTTCCTCTGGAAACTTAGGGTTTTCCCAAAGTTTCCTTTTTTACGATTTATTAACAGTAGGTGGATTTCGGTTCCCACAAGACTTATGAGCTTCCACGTTCTAAAAATTCTCCTATCTCCATGTTTGAGCAAGTGCACACGGGGCCTAAGCAAAGATCTCATGATCTAAGCAGAGTCCTAGAAATCCTTTAAAATCCCTGGGTCCTAAGTGTTAAAAAATATGAGTTTTACATTTCGTTCCTATCATGCTAGCCAAATCAGTAGGGCTCTGACCCTCAGACAAACAAATGCGTAAAACTATATGTTGGGGTCAAAATCGGTACGACGGAATCAACGGCCGAAACTCCCCGCAGAAATATAAAAGAAATCGTTTTGTAAAACCCGAAGAATCGTTTTATAAAACTCGAGGATCGTTTTATAAAACTCGAGGACCGTTTTATAAAACTCGAGAAGCCGTTTTATAAAACCCGAAGATCGTTTTATAAAACTCGAGAAATCATTTTATAAAAATCAAAGATCGTTTTATAAAACCCGAAGATCGTTTTATAAAACTCGAGAATCGTTTAATAAGACTCGAGAACCGTTTTATAAAACTCGAGAAGCCATTTTATAAAACCTGAAGATCGTTTTATAAAACTCGGGAATCATTTTATAAAACTTGAAAAGCCGTTTTATAAAACCTGAAGATCGTTTTATAAAACTCGAGAATCGTTTTATAAAACTCGAAAAGCCGTTTTATAAAACTCGAAGATCGTTTTATAAAACTTAAAGATCGTGTTATAAAACTCGAGAAGCCGTTTTATAAATCTCGAAGAGCGTTTTATAAAATTCGAAGATCTTTTTATAAAACTCGAGAAGCCGTTTTATAAAACTCGAAGATCGTTTTATAAAACTCGAGAAGCCATTTTATAAAAATCGAAGATCGTTTTATAAAAATCGAAGAATCGTTTTATAAAAATCGAGAATCGTTTTATAAAACTAGAAGAATCGTTTTATAAAACTCGAGAATCGTTTTATAAAACTCGAAGAATCGTTTTATAAAACCTGAAGAATCGTTTTATAAAACTCGAGAATCGTTTTATAAAACTCGAGAAATCGTTTTATAAAACTCGAGAATCGTTTTATAAAACCGCAAAAAAACCGAAACAGCCGATGGGCGAACTAGGATCACTCGACTAGTTCGCCCATTGGCGAACTAAGCCGGGCCGGCTTAGTTCGCCAATGGGCGAACTAGGAGATGCTCGACTAGTTCGCCCATCGGCGAACTAAACCGGTCCGACTTAGTTCGCCGATGGGCGAACTAGGATCACTCGACTAGTTCGCCCATCGGCGAACTAAGCAGGCCCGGCTTAGTTTGCCAATGGGCGAACTAGAAGCTTCCTGGACGTCCCGAGCCTCGGTCTCCCGCATTCCCGATTTAAAACTTATGTCTTTCGACACGGTCGCATTCTGAACCATGGCCGAAACATCTTTCGTTCCATCTCGAACCGACCTATCGTTCGAGTTTTACGATAAAAAAACGTAAAACTTCGCTTTCTCGATAAAGAACTCGAAGAAATCGTATAAAACGGCGACGGTTGACGAAACACTGAACATTGCCTAAAACGTACGATTTATTCGAGATTTCTCGTCGAAATCGTAAAAAACGCGTTTTTAATAAAAACGTCGAGTAAATCATAAAAAACGCGTTTTTAATTAAAAAGTCTAGTAAATCATAAAACTGTACGATTAGCTCGAGGAGTTTATTAAAAACGACGTCAGATCAGGAAACGATCCCGTAAAAAGTCGGAAAACGGATTTATCGCAAAAACGGCACGAAAGGGCCTAAAACGCGATAAAAACCCATCTCGCGATCTTAACGGAATCTAACCCGCAGATTTGATAACGTTTTGACGGTTTACTCGCAGGAGGAAAATAAAAGTCAAGTTTAAAGATAAAAGGAAGGTTTGAAGAAAAATAGAAGATTTCCGCGGAAGAAAAAGAAGGATCGAGGAAAATGGAAAATTCCCGATATAGTCAAATCTGGGCGAAATGGAAAGAACGCATGGCCAAGGCGAGGAGTACATAAATAAGAGGTCTAGGGCAGAAGCAAGGGACACGATTTTCAGAGCTCTCACCACCAAAATTAGCATTTAGGAAATTTTCCGTTTTCGTTATCGAGCTGCGTCTCAACTAGGGTTTTAGTCTTAGATTGTTAGAACTAGGAATTTCGCCGACGGCTCACGCAGCTAAGGCAACTCTTGTTGTAACCGTTCTTACACGAATTCGGAATAAGAATCCTTCTTGCTCTCAATCTCGTTTTTCTTTTTATATCTTTCAATTTATTCATATTAATCGCGTTCTTGGTTACTTGTCGTTGGCTTTCGCAGAGATCCGGTTCCTCTGGAAACTTAGGGTTTTCCCGAAGTTTCCTTTTTTACGATTTATTGAGAGTAGGTGGATTTCGGTTCCCACACTATATTTCTAAAAAGTGAAGTGCATAAAAGCAACAGAGCTCACGGCTCGAAAAGGTTCAAAAACCGAAATAAACACAAGTGCGTTAAAGACAAAAATCTTATGGTCCGCCAGAGCTAGAAGATGGAGGGATAATTGGTTCGTCCTCGAAAGAGGGAGGACCTACGCCTTTGAGCCCTGCCTCGGCAAGAACCACAGCCTTATACCGATCGAGCTCCCTGACCAAGTCTCAGCTGTGGGCCCAACCATTGAGCCAATCTCGCATTACCTCCCATCGTGAGGTGATTTTCGCTCCATTCACAGCCATCACCTTCATGTCCTCTGAGATCTTCGACTCAGCTCTTAGTTTCTACAAAGCTATTCCAATTCCTTGCTCTTACGACCCAGCGCCAGAGCCTCCGACGAAGAAGTTTCCATCAAATCTTCAATCGCCTTGATCTTGGCCTGTAGATCATGCAGTTCCATCCCCTGGACCGCCCTCCTGCTTTTCTCCTCAGATAGCTACCAGGAAAGCTCCTTGGCTTCCTCCTTGACGAGGGACACATCCTCCTCTGACAATCGAACTCCCAAATGATGCAATAAGGAGAGAACCTGCGCGAAAGATCACCCAATAAGATCCACGATAGCAAGGCTGAAACATGAGCAAGGATCACCTCTGCTGGACCTTCACCCGGAAGAGGGATATTCTCTTGCGAGAACACCCTAGTGTTCAGGTCCTCAAGGACATTCGACAAACCCCCAGTTGCACATTCAGCATCAAAAGCCTGTGGAGTCAGCCGAGCGGCCATCCTGCCCCTCGACCTTCTCCCCGGAGAAGAGGAAACAGCCTCGCTCTTAATCACCGTCTTGCAACTACTTCCAATTATCATAACCTCGTCCCCTGAAACGATCGGGGCGACGGTACCCTTCCTCGTGGAAATCGCCTCGTTAGCCCTATTAAAGGATTCCATCGGGTCTTCTTCTACCCCCTCCACCGGGCCGCCTGGTTAAAACAAAGTCAGTCAACACCAGCCAAATTGGGCAAACGGAAAAGGAGTATGACAAACATCAAAGAAGAAGACTCACTCCGAAGCCTGCTACGACCCAACACAACAAGGCTAAGGAGATAGGCCACCTGACGCTGTGTTAGAGAAAGGCTCGGGCCCTAAGGACGCTGACTTCCCTGCCCCACTCGAGCCGAGTGGGTTCCACCTAAAAAAAAACAACGGAAGAAAAATCTATTAAGCGAACCCCATCATCACCTAAGCGTATCAATTTCTTTTACCTACGAAGCTCCATAGATAATGGGAACCAGGAAGGGTCATGAATACATATCTTTCCTGCCACTTCTTACAAAAGACAGGCCCTTGCGGCCGTTTTTCGGAAGTTACTCTACGATGGGAACACCACTGCAAGGCTGAAGATGAAAGCGACCACCTCTGCCGTTGATCGGAGCAAGGTGATAAGCGAACAGCTTCATCAACGCCTAAGGAAAAACACGACCGGCCCGGCTTAGTTCGCCGATGGGCGAACTAGAAGCTTCCTGGACGTCTCGAGCCTCGGTATCCCGCATTCCCGATTCGAAACTTACGTCTTTCGACACGGTAGCATTCTGAACAATGGCCGAAACATCTCCCGTTCCATCTCGATCCGACCTATCGTTCGAGTTTTACGATAAAAACGTAAAACTTCGCATTCTCGATAAAGAACTCGAAGAAATCGTATAAAACGGCGACGGTTGACGATACACCGAACATTGCCTAAAACGTACGAATTATTAGAGATTTCTCGTCGAAATCGTAAAAAACGCGTTTTTAATAAAAACGTCGAGTAAATCATAAAAACGCATTTTTAATTAAAAAGTCGAGTAAATCGTAAAACCGTACGATTAGCTCGAGGAGTTTATTAAAAACGACGTCAGATCAGGAAACGATCCCGTAAAAAGTCGGAAAACGGATTTATCGCAAAACGGCCCGAAAGGGCCTAAAACGCAATAAAAACCCATCTCACGATCTTAACGGGATCTAACCCGCAGATTTGATAACGTTTTGACGGTTTACTTGCAGGAGGAAAATAGAAGTCAAGTTTGAAGATAAAAGGAAGGTTTGAAGAAAAATAAAAGATTTCCGCGGAAGAAAAGGAAGGATCGAGGAAAATGGAAAATTCCCGATATAGTCAAATCTGGGCGAAATGGAAAGAACGCATGGCCAAGGCGAGGAGTATATAAATAAGAGGTCTAGGGCAGAAGCAAGGGACACGATTTTCAGAGGTCTCACCACCAAAATTAGCATTTAGGAAATTTTCCGTTTTCGTTATCGAGCTGCGTCTCTGTGGGAACCGAAATCCACCTACTGTCATTAAATCGTAAAAAAAGAAACTTCGGGAAAACCCTAACTTTCCAGAGGAACCGGATCTCTGCGAAAGCCAACGACAAGTAACCAAGAACGCGATTAATATGAATAAATTGAAAGATATAAAAAGAAAAACGAGATTGAGAGCAAGAAAGATTTTTATTCCGAATTCATGTAAGAACGGTTACAACGAGAGTTGCCTTAGCTGCGTGAGCCGTCGGCAAAATTCCTGGTTCTATCAATCTAAGACTAAAACCCTAGTTGAGACGCAGCTCGATAACGAAAACGGAAAATTGCCTAAATGCTAAGTTTGGTGGTGAAAGCTCTGAAGACTCGTCCTTCAGCTTCTGCCCTATGCCTCCTCCTTATATACTCCTCCTTAGGCGGTTTTAGTCTTTCTATTTTGCTCGAAACCGAATATTTCGGGAACTTTCCATATCTGTCGATCCTTCCTTTTCTTCTGCGGAAATCTTCTATTTATCTTCAAACTTGCATTTTATCTTCCGTCTGCGAGTAGACCGTCAAAGCGTTATCGTATCTTCGGGTTTGATTTCGTTAACGTCGCGAGATGGGTTTTTATCGTGTTTTAGGACCTTTCGGGCCGTTTTACGATAAAAACCGTTTTACGACTTTAACGAGACCGTTTCCTGATCCGATGTTGTTTTTACGATTCTCTCGACGTTTTTTATTAAAAACGCGTTTTCTGTAATCTTAACAAAGAATCTCGGATAAATCGTATAGTTTAGGCGACGTTCGGTGTTTTGATTAACCGTTACCGTTTTATACGATTTCTTCGAGTTCTTTTCTGGAAAACGGAGTTTTACGGTTTTTATCGTAAAACTCGAACGATAGGACGGATCGAGACGAAACGGGAGACATTTCGACCGTGATTCGGAATACGATCGTGTCGAAGGACGTATGCCTTGAATCAAGGATGTGGGAGATCGAGGCTCGGGATGGTCGGCTCGACGTACGGCGAGCTAGTTCAGCTTGGCTAGGTCGCCATNTCGTAAAACTCGAACGATAGGACGGATCGAGACGAAACGGGAGACATTTCGACCGTGATTCGGAATACGATCGTGTCGAAGGACGTATGCCTTGAATCAAGGATGTGGGAGATCGAGGCTCGGGATGGTCGGCTCGACGTACGGCGAGCTAGTTCAGCTTGGCTAGGTCGCCATATGGCGAACTAGGCGAAAAGAACCAATGGGGCAAAGTCAGCACCTCTTAGTTCGCCCAATGGCGATCTAGCCGGGACGGGACTAGTTCGCCCATCGGCGAACTAAGCCGGTCCGGCTTAGTTCGCCGATGGGCGAACTAGTCGGGATGGACTAGTTCGCCCATCAGCGAACTAAGCTGGGCCAGCTTAGTTCGCCAATGGGCGAACTAGTCGAGTGCCTCTTAGTTCGCCCATGGGCGAACTAGTCGTGACTAGTTCGCGTTTTACGGCTGTTTCGGTTTTTTTGCGGTTTCGTAAAACGATTCTTCAAGTTTTATAAAACGATTCTTCGAGTTTTATAAAACGATTCTCGAGTTTTATAAAATGATTATTCGAGTCTTATCAAACGGCTTCTCGAGTTTTATAAAACGACCTTCGAGTTTTATAAAACGGCTTCTCGAGTTTTATAAAAAGATCTTCGAGTTTTATAAAACGATCTTCGAGTTTTATAAAACGGCTTCTTGAGTTTTATAAAAAGATCTTCGAGTTTTATAAAACGATCTTCGAGTTTTATAAAACGGCTTCGAGTTTTATAAAACGGCTTCTCGAGTTTTATAAAACGATCCTCGAGTTTTATAAAACGATCTTCGAGTTTTATAAAACGATTCTCGAGTTTTATAAAACAATTCTTCGAGTTTTATAAAACGATTCTCGAGTTTTATAAAACGGTTCTTTGAGTTTTATAAAACGATTCTCGTGTTTTATAAAACGATCCTCGAGTTTTATAAAACGATTCTCGAGTTTTATAAAACGATCCTCGGGTTTCATAAAATGATTCTAGAGTTTTATTAAACGGTCCTCAAGTTTTATAAAACGATCCTCGAGTTTTTAAAATGATTCTCGAGTTTTATAAAATGATCCTCGGGTTTCATAAAATGATTCTCGAGTTTTATAAAACGGTCCTCGAGTTTTATAAAAAGATTCTTTGGGTTTTGTAAAACGATTCCTTTTATATTTCTGCGGGGAGTTTTGGCCGTTGATTCCGTCGTACCGATTTTGACCCCAACAGTTAGCCCCCCAGCTCGTAAGAATCTTGAGCCTTTAGCGTAAGGTTCTTGCGAGTGGTTAACCAGTTTTAATTAAGTTGGGCGGAATTAATGGTCGGAAAGGTCCGTTGAAAGTGATCTTTCCACTTTCCAGGGAGCGGAAAGCGTTTAAGATTAGGGCTGCACCTTGTGAAGGCTGCCTACGTACCCTTTTGAGGGGATCAAGCCTTTCGTAGTTCGTTTCGGAGTTAAGGTTCGTATGACCTGTTTCGCAGTGAGACCTTTATAGACTAGTTATGTGTCGTGTAGGAGTTATCGAGCACATTGATGTCGATGGCATCTGGACCTTTGCCGGCCTTGAGACTAGCCTCGTAGGCCGTTTGGTCTGGCTGAGCGTGGCCGTTATAGTTTTCGGACTGGCCGTGTGCGACTCTGAGTCCCTTCCGCTTTTGCGGCTTTATTAAAAATCAGTTTGCGTTTTTAAGAGCGTGTTTTTATTCGTATGAATGTAGCGGGAAGAATATGAGTTGATATTGAGGGAGGTCCGCGAGTTGTCGTCTCGCATTCCTTTTTCCCTTAGTGTATCGCCTTGTTCGTTTGCCCGTTTTAGGATGTTTAGTAAATTGAGTGAGCATTTAGATATAGACGAAGAGACATGCCTTTAGGATCTCGATTCATGCCTTGAGACGTTAGCGACCAGTGTGCTGGGTTTAGGGCAAGACCTAGGTTTACTTTCGGATTGAGGCTATGCGATGACTAGTCGGCTTTCGTTTTGCCTGTTGCGATTTTAACCTGATTCCATACCGATTTAGAATCAGCGATAGGTTCTCGGCTTATACGATTCGTCTGGTTGGAACCGAGCATCTCACCGGGAACAATTTCTAAGTTGCCCGGAATTTCTGACCAAAAGTTTGGATTTCTTTTATAGCGCTATTACCCTTGTGTCGGGTGTTCGAGAGCTATCTCTGCGAGATAACTTAAGTTTGTTTAGGACTGTTGCGAGTTTGTTGTGATCAGCAACAAAGTTTTTAGGCGATAAATGTTCACGTTGTTTTGGCCTTCGCGAAGGATACGTACGTTAAGAAGTTTTGCGTAATTTTTTAGTCGCGGACAAATTGTTAGGTCTTCCAAGAAAATGACTTTATCGAGGAAGTTATTTATGTCGAAAAACTAATCTCCGGGCGTCTGCGACGTCTCGCAGTGCCGAAAGTTGGTTTTTATTTTATATGCCGCGTTTCGTGTTCGGAACGTTTGCGGGCTCGAAGATGTGCGCGGTGTTGCGATGGTTTTGTCTTAACCCTGCTTTGCAGGAACACTTTGGTTCGTTTGCGGATATTCGCAATTAAAACTTACATTCCTGTTTCGATGTTAGGTAGTTTTACGATTTGTGCTAGAGCAATTAGGACCACGAGGTCGCGTAAGTTGTTTCCCTGAAACGAAGCGTTTTTCGTTACGGTGCTTTGAAGTGTTGACCTTCCGAGATTCGTACGGCTTTAGGAGCTCTGGTACGAGTGTTTTCTTATACGTCGGATTTTGTAGGAAACTTGCTTTGGGAATAGAGTGAAATGCGAGAATACAGAACTTAGCCGATTTTCGACAAGTTTGCATCATCCGTTGAATGTATTGGCTTAGCGCGAAGGTTGTGTTCAGCCGCACAGCCAAGGTCGTATCTGGTAGAGGATTAGACCACGACACTTTCGTGCTATCGAAAAGGTCGAGTCGGTTTGTAAACTTGGCATTGAAGTGAAGCGTGATCGGACAATAGCCAAGTAGCGTTTGTCGAGCTTGATATGCCAAGTATGCCGTTTATAGAAAACGTTTTTCCGTTGTAGGTTTGATTTATACGATGAAAGTTTCATATAAACTTTCCTTTGTATGGAAGTTGTTTCTTTTTTACTCGAGGGAGACAGATCCTAAGAAGCTC